GACTACAGCGACATGAGCAAGCCCAGGTGAAGCCTCCCAAACGCCCATCTATGCCTGGCTCAAAATGCTGACCTCTCAAACTGTGTGCTAACAAATTACTTTGTTTTAAGTCAATAAGCTTTGGGATGGTTTGTTATGCAGCAAGGGCTAACTGATATACTGATAAAGGAATGTCATGTTAGATGAAAATTACAACTAATATCATCCTTGACTTGCTAGGATGCTCATGCTGACAGAAACTCCTTAGGTTTGGGGGCACCTGGGTGGCTCGGTTGGTTAAGTGGCTGCCTTCGGCTCAGGTCATGATCCCAGGTAGAGCCCCACACCCGGGCTCCTTGCTCAGCAGGAAGCCTGCTTCTCCCTCTGCCTGCTCTGCCTGCCACTCCCCCTGCTTGTGCTCACGCTCTCTCTCTCTGACAAATAAGTAAAAATTAAAAAAAAAAAAAAGAAACTCCTTAGATTTGGCAAGCATTAGAGTCAGTCCTCCCATCTTTCTCTCACTCCTGAGCCTGAAAAAAGGATAGATTCCTCTGAATGACTAATAAAACAGTTATTTTTCTTCCTTCCTCTAGCCAACCTCCTAAAAAATGAATTAATCTAAGTTAAAGGTGTATATGAGCTGACTCCACTGTGTTGGTAATAAACACACTTTCAGAATTAATAATCAGAACATGTCAGAAACAGGACAACACATTTGAAATGAGGAGTGTCCTGGGGTGCCTGGGTGGCTCAGTCGGTTAAGCATCCAACTCTTGGTTTCGGCTCAGGTATGATCTCAGGGTCATGAGATCGAGCCCCTAGTTCAGCTCCACACTCAGCAGGGAGTCTGCTTGAAGATTCTCTCTCTCTGCTCCTCCCCCTTCGCACACTCTCTCTCTAATAAATAAATCTGAAATGAGGAGTGTTCTGAATACCTAAGACACTGTTGTGAGCCACTGAAGGAGGACTTCTGAACAGAAAAGTGATGTTACTGTAATACTTGGGGAAAATGGAGGATGACAGAAACATGCCATGTAGCAAAGGACCATATCAACATGTAGAAACCAACCAGGACACTATTGTAAACATTCATGTGAGAAAAGAAAAAGATCTGCACTGGCAGGTCTACCCTGGGGATGTAAAACTGCACAGTATAACAATAAAAACAAAACAAGAAAACTGCAAAACATAAAGCAGACATCATGATGGAAGAAGGGGGCCTCAAAAACAGAAGAAATAATCAAAACGATCAAATGTTTTAGAACAGGCAGAGTTCCAAAGCTCCAACTGGTGTGAGTCCCCACTGCTTTGAAATGGTCATTTCAACTCACCTTACCGTATTTTTGTTGTGAGAATAAATACAAACCTATAAAAGAATTTCATGCACAAAACTGATCACAGAAGCAAAATTTACAATAATTAAAATATTGGGACTAAGTTAAATGCTCTGCCAAATTGGAAGGGACCCTCTTGTACTGTTGGTGGGAATGCAAGCTGGTGCAACCACTGTGGAAGACACTATGGAGGTTCCTCAAAAAGTTAAAAATAGGGGCGCCTGGGCGGCTCAGTCTGTTGAGAGTCTGCCTTCAGCTCAGGTCATGATCCCAGGGTCCTGGGACTGAGCCCCACACTGGGCTCCCTGCTCGGTGGGGGGTTTGCTTCTCCCTCTGCCTCTCCCCCCACTCCTGCTCGCTCTCAAATTAAAAAAAAAAAAAAAAAAGTTAAAAATAGAACTACCCTATGATCCAGCAATCACACTACCGGGTATTTAGCCAACAATACAAAAACACCAATTCAAAGGGATACATACACCCCTATGTTTATAGCAGCATTATTTACAATAGCCAAATTATGGAAGCAGCCCAAGCGTCCATCAATAGATGAATGGATAAAGAAGATGTGATATATATATAATGAAATATTATTCAGCCATAAAAAAGAATGAAATGCTGCCATTTGCAACAACATGAATAGAACTAGGGAGTATAATGCTAAGCAAAATAAGTCAATCAGAGAAAGATAAATACTATATGATTTCACTCGTTTGGAAATTAAGAAACAAAACAAATGAGCAAAAGAAAAAAGAGAGAGAGACAAACCAAGAGACAGACTCTTAATTATAGAGAACAAACTGATGATTACCAGAGGGGAGGTGTGGGGGCAGGGAATGGGTGAAATAGGTGATGGGGATTGAAGAGATTAAGGAGTGCACTTGTGATGAGCACTGGGTGATGTATGGAAGTGTTGAATCTCTATATTGCACACCTGAAATTAATACAACACCATATGTTAACTACACTGCATTAAAAAAATAATAAGGGCGCCTGGGTGGCTCAGATGGTTAAGCGTCTGCCTTCAGCTCAGGTCATGGTCCCGGGGTCCTGGGATCGAGTCCCGCATCAGGCTCCCTGCTCCTTGGGAGCCTGCTTCTCCCTCTGCTTCTCTCTCTCTCTCTCTCTCTCTCTCTGTCTGTCATGAATAAATAAATAAAATCTTTAAAAAAAATAATAAAATAAAAAAATAATAAAAATGATCCCCCCCAAAGTGGAAAGCAGTGGATGGGTTCATCCATTTCATGCACTATTATAGAAATCACTTCCAGTGGGTTAAGTGTTGGCTGTTTCTCCACCTATAAAATATGGGTCTGGGTAGATACACTGGCACTATCTTTAATATACTGATTTTATCATTAAGCTCTGTCAAAATGTGTGTGAGTGTGTGTGAGTGTGTGTGTGTGTGCGTGAGTGTAAAATGAAACAAAATCCCAATGGTAACAGAATCCCAAAATAAAATGGAAGACCCGTAAGTGTGCAGGCTGTGCCTTTACACATTACTAACTGTCATCCATCAAGTATTCTGCATACAGCAGACAGTCAGCAAATCTGTTCAATGGAGTCAGTGAAAAAATGCTAAGGATTAGTAACATCATGTGCCTGCCTGCCCATCTCATTTGTTACAAATTTTACTTTATTCTCTCAGGCAAAGGTCCCTGCCAGTGACCTAATATAGAACTGTGTATTTGTTTAAATTGGTTTGTATAATTCAGATGTCATACATATCAGAGTACCTGGAGAGTCTACCCAGACCCCCTGAAATATGTAGTTAATTATATGCCCCAAATAACATACCAACACTAACAACAGAAACTCCTTTGTTACTTAGTTCCTTCAAATTAATTTATTTAAGGCTGTAGTTCCTCTATGCACTCAAAATTTCCTATGTGTCAGGTACTCCTCTAGGCACAGAGGTTTCATCTTAAACAACTTATCCATTCAAATGCTTGTACCCTTTGATCAGTTCTTCCAATACTTTTTTTTTTTAAGTATTAGGGGCAGGAAAAAAATCAGCTCACACAAACGTCTGGCTTTTCCCAGAAAATCAGAATGCTTTCCTATTAACATCATGAGTAGTGAAGAAAATACACACAAAATATTCAGTGTTACCTTAGGAAATGTTCTTTATTAGATTATGCATTCTTGGTACTAACACTATCAAATGAATGAAATATAAATGAGAAACACAGAACTCTCAAAGTTGTTCTGATAACATCCGGGAAACTGTAAATCTCTACCATAGAGGGCCAAGATTAAGAATAAATCAAGGTCTCAAGGAAAAAAAAAGAGAGAAAGGAAGAATAAATTGAGGTCTCATTTTCTGCTTAAATTTTCCTCTCATTTTTTTTTTTAATAAGGATAGTCAAGACAGATCTGAAACAGCCAAGTTAATGCATATCAAAAATGATAGGGCGCCTGGGTGGCTCAGTTGGTTAAGCGACTGCCTTCAGCTCAGGTCACGATCCTGGAGTCCCGGGATCGAGTCCCACATCGGGCTCCCTGCTCAGCGGGGAGTCTGCTTCTCCCTCTGACCCTCTTCCCTCTCGTGCTTTCTATCTCTCATTCTCTCTCTCTCAAATAAATAAATAAAATCTTTAAAAAAAATGATAGTAAACCAGCCTGGCAACTTTGTTGGCGCTCAATAAATGTTCATCACATTTAATTAAGTCAAGGTCATCATAGTCACCATTCATAGGGGTTAGAAAGTTTCCCCCTTAAGTCCCTATACATCCATGTCATTGATCTCCTTATACCAAATTCCTTCTCAAAATCCTTCAAAACCTAGCTTATTCAAAGACAAAATCTACACTCCTCAGTCTGGCACTCAACCTAGCCACCCAGACTAAGAGGTAGAAAATGAAAATCTTTCAGGGACCAGGTAGGTAATATAAATGAGAGAGGCAGGCAAAATGTTAGCTAGTCAATGGTTTCAACCTGAGTTTGGAAGATACTGTGGAAAATGCAGCAAATAAACTCTGCAGGACATGTCCAAATGATGAAGACACTGTTCAGTGTGAATTCCCTGACACCACAGGTGTTTTTTATTTTTTTTATTTATTTTCAGAGAGGCAGGCAGTCCAGGATTTTTGGTGAAATCTCCCCAACTGCCTGATGCTGAAAATGCTCTCAGTATAAAATTCAGGTCAGACCATCAAGCTCCCCACATGTCTGTATCTTCACCAGCACATAGTTAAAAATCAATCTTAAATAATTCCATTGGCCACTACAATCTTCCCACACTGTGGCAAGGGCAGTGTGCCCGGCCTCAGGCTAACCATGCTTCCTGCTCTCTTCCCTGCTCTGCCAACTCTCCAACTTACCAAACCCTCAGGGGCCCTTCAGACAGCCCTACTTCTTCTGGAAGCCCTCCCTAACCACTTCAGGTCATAAGCATCTCTGCCGTCCCTGTCCTGCATCCTTACCACTGGACAGTCAAGCTTGGATGCTCCTGTATTTTTACTTAAACTGTTCCATGTGTGTTGCTTACAACTGACCATTTCGCGGGTGACAGGTATGGATGGAGCATAAAGGAACGCTGAAGGAGGGGACTCCATGTAAGATGAGCCACCACTCCTCCAGGAACAGGCGTGAACTTTGCCCAATACCAACAAGGCAGCCTGCAGCGGAAGAAAAAGGAACAGATCCATCCTGTTGGCAGCCAACATGTAATTTGATGAAAATTCTCACCTCTTTTTTGGCTTTCAGGAGCCCCGTGGCCATTTTCCTGGTCTCCTGAATGCTGTCCCCGGAGAAGGGCAAGGTCTCAGAAGATAGACCTGGGGATGTGAAAAGAAACGCGAGCGTGCCTAGATGGAAAAGCCCCTCTCCACCAGTCAAGGCGGGGTCGGCTCCGGAGCCCCACACCTGGGGGTTCAGTGTTACAGAAATCACCAGCACAACCCAATTCCCATCCAGAGCCCTGGGGAAAGGGTTCAAAGTGACCGAGCACCCTCAAATTCAGCCCTAAGCTCTGGCCACGGAGTGGAGCCCATGTCCCTCTGCAAAGGAGTAAGTGTCTCTCTCTAACTCTCTGGGCTGGAATGAAAAGATAACGGCCTGGAATGCCTATGGAAGAGCGCCCGAGTTCAGAGGCAGCCTGTGTCCCGACGAGTAAAACAGGGACAAGCAGAGGGACGTGCTGACTGGACGAGGCAATGACTACAGGGCACTCACGTGACGCGGGGTGCACGTTGCTGATCCTGAGGCTGAGGCTCGGGAACCAAGCGTAGAAGTGTGGGAACGACCGAATAGGGAGGCCTACCCCGCCGCCTACCACCGTGTGGGCGGGACCCACCAACCGGAAGTGCTCCGGCTACGTAAACTCCGCAGCAAGGAGAACGCCAGGGACAGCGGAAGTGGCCGCGCGGGCCTCTGGAGAGTGTAGTCTTTGGGATGGAGAGGTGGTGGGCGAGCAGGCTTCGCCAACGGCCGGGTGACTCTGACATCTGCACCTCTCATGCAACGAAGCTTAGGAGCTCACGTTAAGATGCTCAGACCGCAAGGTGCACATGTTTCTTCTCCGAGGGCCAATGAGATCTCGCGGACCACGAGAGAGTCGCAGAAATGCCCGAAGATTCTAGAAAATGTGGTCCTGGCGCCCCGCCGGTGTTACGGAGGCGGGTGGACAGACTGTGCGCGCTGACCTTCAGCGGCACGGGTGAGTTGGGGTAACCCACGCCAAGGCTCCGCACTGTGTGCCCTTCCAGGAGCAGAAACCAGGGTCCGGAATGGGGCGAGTGGGCGCAGCTCAGGGCAAAGATCTTGCGGAACGAAGCAGTGGAGTGAACGCTCTGTTGGGACTCCGGGATAGGAGCGACACCGGCCTTGGTGCGCCAATCCGCACGGGGAACGCCAAGGCTATTTTCTAGGAGAGCGGGATTGGCTTGGGCTAACTCCCGGGATATTGGTGGATGGCTCTAGTCCTGTGTCCCTGGGATGTTGGTGGGTGGGGAGGCGGGACTTGAGACCAAGAGCAAAAGGCCCCCTGGTGGTAGAAGTAGTCGTGTGGTGAGGAACCGTGGCTTGATCCAGAAATCCCTGGGTTTTTTATTGGAAGCTAGGTGCCACTTAGGGGAAATTTACCGGAGTTGTGGTTGGGAGGTGGGGGTATGGGGTGTGAAGAGGAAGCAGAACTTGACAGTTTTGTTCATAATGAATTTTTTTGCATTAATTTTGATTTTCAAAGATACCACCTTAAAATATCTTGATTACTGAGTTTTTATGGTGCCCCCTTATATTTTGCCCCCAGAGTCCCGTTTATAGGGAAAGGCATGAATAGATCTTACACTATATGAACTTCATTGGCACCTATTGGCCTGTAGTCTTGATAGGAAGTGAGGGCTCGGCTTCTGGGCATTAAGTAGCCAGAAAGAGGCCTTTGGGGCTATGAAGAGCACACATGAAATGGAAGGACTGAAAGCTTTAGAGAAGGGATTGGGGTGCAGGGGGTGGGAGGTGGGATTCTGAGATAATCCAGATCCCTATGTGTAGACATGTTTACACAGTCAGTGAAGAGAGACCCAAGCTGATAGGTTACCTGTAATAAGTGAAACATAATATAACAGCAGGTCAGGTGATGGTGTGACTCTGCGAACTTACTCCACTTTTTTTCCTTCAGGGAAGGAAAAGGGGCTGGAGGTTGAATCAATCAATCACTTGTTCAAGCCTGTGTAACGAAGCCTCCATAAAAAAACAAAAAGATGGGAGTTTGGAGAGCTTCCAGGTTGATGAAGACTCGGGGAGAGTGGTGCGCTCAGCATGAAAGCTCTGTGACCCTTCCCCGTACCTTGCCCTATGCATCTCTTCCATGTGGCCGTTCCTATATTATCCTTCTATAATAAAATGGTAATCTGGTAAGTAAAATATTTCTCTAAATTCTGTGACAATTTAGCCTGAAAGTAATCTATGAATTAGAAATTAAGGCAGAAAACAAAGGACCTAGTAATCACATTTCAGGTCAGAAAACTAACATAAAAGTAGGATATGAGAAAGGGATGAAATAATCAGATGAGGGTGGGGGTGGGGCACTTATGGGGATGCAGGAGGCAGGAAGAAGTGCAGTTTGTGCATAAAATCATTACAGAGAGACAGTCTTTGGAGAGGTGTGTGCACAAGGATCGTGGCTAGATTGGAGGATGACAGATATCCCGAAAGGTATATTCAGGGGTTGACACTGAATAAAAAACGAGAGTCAAGTGTAGAGACTTTCCCATCCTGTGCACAGATGGGAGGAGAGCATGGATAACATCAGTAGGTGATGTGCAAATGGGGAGTAGACAAATGTGGAGTAAATAAGCACAGTAAATAGCCCCTCAAGAGGGAGATGAGGAAAATGGGCACAATCCTATCCTTAGAAAGACACACAGCAGTTAAATCTCATGTGGAAACTCAGGGTATCTCAAGGGTAAGAGATGGCTGCCCACACCTCTGCTATGTCACCTGCAGCCACAGGGTGGTGGGCAACACCTTCTTGCTCCAAAAGAGTTGGCCACAGAAGGCAGAGCAGGTCCTGTCGACCTCTGAGAGTCGTGGACCTGGGGCGGCGAAGGAATGGAGAAAAAGACACGACAGTAAAGCGAGGCACAGGGGACCCCGAGCAATCAGCCCGAGGTGCTGAGGTTTATTTTCCATCATCTTATATACCTTCTACAGCGATACAGATCTATAATGATTTTTAACAATACAGATCAATTATGATTTACAGCAATGACTTAGAGAGGTTATTGAGAATCTTTCAGGCAAGATACCAGCACACAATGCGCAGTGTTATTACATATGATCTCTAAGGCAAGATGTGAGGACAGGGTGCTCAATGTACTATGTATGATTTCTGAAGCAGGATATGTGAACAGCGTATAAAATGCAAAAACAGGAAGGGGAGTGCACAGCATGCTTTTTACAGCTGGCTTCCTTTTAGCAAAATAACTTTTACTGTGTACATTGGAACAAACCACGCACATCCTTAGGGCAAATTCACTCTGATCCTTCCAGGCTATTTAACCTTATAATCTTGAGTTTTCTCAGAGATTCCGGAGCCTTGCAATCTCGAGTTTTCTCAGAGATTTCGGAGTCTGAATGAACATGCACCAGTGGTCGCCGTGGTGTTGTGTGTCCCACAAGGTCCCACACTGAAGCTCCAGAAGGGAGGAGGTTCCACAGTGAGAGAAAAAACACAAAGTAAACATAGTATCTGTATATTTTTATAATAAAATATTTCATATACATTCAAGTAGAGATGGGTACAGTGACAGATAATAAGGTAGAGGAATCAGATAGACACCACAGAGATGTAATGACAGATAAACAAATGATATGTAAGGGTGTTTCTCCACATATGCAGACTTTATATGTTCACGTAAATACTTGTATTTGTGCATCATTCAGTAGAGATGTTTACACAGACTGCACTCACGTTGTGAAGTCAACAGGAGATGAAGTAAAAACAAAGCAGTTATCAAGTATCAATTTGTTTTTTTAAAGATGTTATTTATTTGACAGAGAGAGACATAGCGAGAGAGGGAACACCAGCAGGGGGAGTGGGAGAGGGAGAAGCAGGCTTCCCGCTGAGGAAGGAGCCCGATGTGGGACTCGATCCCAGGACCCTGAGATCATGACCAGAGCCGAAGGCAGACGCCCAACGACTGAGCCACCCAGGTGCCCCGAGTATCAGTCTGTCTTGTGAGACACACACAAACACAGCTCCTCACCTCCCTTCTGAACACCGCTACTGCCTGCAGCAGGTGGCAATTCTAGCCCTGGCCACTTCTCTCACAGTGTCAGAGACATGGAAGTACATACCGCAGAACTCACTAGAAACAAAAACCAGGAAGTGCAGAGGCTGTGGAAAACAGACTTCAAGTAGGAGGGATTACAAAGTCCAGGAGAGGGATTCCAGAGAGGATCCAGATGCCTGCACAAAGGCCAGGCAGTGAGCAGACCCAGGTGTCTGTGACTAAGTTAGCATGAACTCAAACATCGTCTGATACAGTGCTTCTCAAAAGCTGCTGCAACAGACCCACCTGGGGGGCTTAGTAAACACAGATTGCTGGGCCTCACCCTGAGTTTCTAATTCAGTGCCTGTGTGGCACCTGGGTATGTGCATTTCTAATATGTTTCCTGGTAACAGCGATGCTGCTCGTCCAAGGAGCACACTAGGCTCTACTCTAACACCAGGTCAGGGGGAGGTACTAAAGAGCAAAGCAGCAGCAGAAGGGACTTGAAGCCTGCCTGTAGGGGCTTCTCTGGAAACTCCTCAAACATAAAAACCTCCAAGATGATGCAAGAACATCGACAGCATCATGTCTCCAAACCACTCACGAAGTGCTTGGCCAGGTAGTGACAGGCCCAACCACTGGACCCACGTAAACCTTCCAGAAAACCTGGGACCCTGGCACTCTGAGAACCCCTACTTTCTACCCTCCCTCACTGAGATCTGACACCCTGTTTCCTGATAACATTCCATTATAGCACAGGAAGGAACGTCACTGATATGCCCATTTTTATGGACTTTCCTAGATAAAAATAACCACTCGAGTAGAAATTTTTTTTAAATAAATGTTTATTTTTCATATAAAACACAAAATTTTACATCAGTTTAATGGAAACCCTAAAATACATAGAAAAGATATAAAAATAATGATAAAAATAGTCAACAAGGCAAAGCAATACTTAAGAGATCTTATATCCTAAAATACATATATAGCTATCTATGCTATTTTAAAAATCAAGGCAGAAACAAAAGGGGTGCTACATACCTCTAAATTTATGCATTCCAATTTTCCGGTTTAACTCTAAAATTAATCTGGAGATCTGTCATGAAAAAAATGGGGAAAGTGTCTAACTCAACTGATGGGACAAAGAAAATAATCATTAGTAAGTAACTGCAAATAAATACCTAACCAAGACAAAAAACCATGGCACCTCTTATGGGGAAAGGCTGAAATGGGGGATAGAGGAAAAAACTGTGACCCTCAAAGGAAAATAAGACAGAAGAAATCAGGCCAGAATATTAAGGAATTGGAAATGAGTCTCCATATCAGAAAAGGAACACAACAAACAGCAAGAGGAAAGAGGGAGGCAAAAGTCACCGACTCCAGGAGTGGGGAGGTCCACGAGAATGAAGGAGGCAGGAAGAGAGGTGAAGTGTGTACATAAAATCATTCCCTAGAGCTGTGCTGTCCAATGACGCAGCCACTCATCACATGTGGCTACTGAGCACTAGAAACATGGCTAGTTTGAATTGAGAAATGGTGTAGATAGAAAATACACCAGCGGCGCCTGGTGGCTCAATCGGTTAAGCATCTGCTTTCCGCTCAGGTCATGATCCCAGGGTCCTGGGATCGAGCCCCGCATCGGGCTCCCTGCTCTGCAGGGAGCCTGCTTCTCCCTCTCCCACTCTCTCTGCTTGTGTTCACTTTCTCGCTGTGTCTCTCTCTCTGTCAAATAAATAAATAACAAAATCTTAAAAAAAAAACAAAACTATCCCAATCACAGACCCGCAAGCTGAAGAATTTTAAACTGTTAAGCGTCACTGTCTTGATTATCACCATGACATGAGATCAAAAAATCAAATCAGCACATGCCATATAGACTGGATGTCTCATCTGAAATAGATATATGCTGTGCATGGAGAAGCACTGAACTTATCCAGGGGGCAGCATTCCAGGAGGTGCCACACATGTATCTGGGTGTGCATGTGAATGGAGTGATCAAACTCTCATCCGCACAGCTCCGCTGTCCTTCACTGGCACTGCAGGGGTAGAACTAGGAGGGGAATCCACATCCGCTGATACCATGGGGAAAGAGACCCTTTGGGATTTTGCCCTGATTTCTGAGGGGTATTTTCTCTTCTCCCTCTGGGTTGTATTTTCTTGCTGTCCACCTGTCTACCATTTTGCCACCCCAAACTGTAGCCCAACTCATCTCCTCAGCCTTCCTCAGTGTGAATGTTGCGAGTTTAGACTTACCTCTTTAATCTCTACAAGATGTGCCCAAAATTCAGACTTAAAAGAATAAAAACAAGTTTGCCTGAGAAAGTTCAGCCTCCACCTTCTTAGGGGAACCCTTAAAGAAACATCAGCCCAGGGTCTCCCCATCTCTGCTCAACAACTCCTTGTGACCTCTCCTTCAGGAGCAGAAGGCAAACTCTTACCTAGGCCCACCTGCCTCCACGAACTGTAACACAGGACCGACACACAGAGATCAATAACTCAATATAATTTAACATAACACAAAGTCAGGAAGGGATGCCCATCATGAAATGTTTAAGCAATAAAGCTGCAGTGACGGGGAGGGACGGGAAATAGTACAGGACTCTAGGGACAGGCTGGGAGTGAGTCCCGAGAAACTCTACATCCTGGTAGAGGTAGGGTGCAGGCAATCAGACTCTGAAGAGAAAGGGAAGCCAAAATTCTATCTATGCAAACACACACAATTAAGATCACATCAGATAGAGTCAGGTGGGTTAGGAATGACAGAAAGCAAAGGAAACAATTGAAAATGTGAAGGTTTCTCCATAAACCGTTAGGAGGGTAAATGCCAGACACACCTCCAGAATGTGTTTATAGTAGTATTTCTTCAATTAACAAGGCAAAGGTTGGAGCAGCAAGGAGAGATGGAGGCCAGGCACTTCCCCTGGATCATCAATGTGAACCTGGCAGCAAGCCACTCTGGATACTACCATTTTCCCCATGACGAATCAAAGCCACAGTGAGGCTCATTGGCGGGTTCAAGGTCAGAGAGCTAATGCAGCTCATTGGTGGGTTCAAGGTCAGAGAGCTAATAAAGGCTGCCATCTGGGATCTGAATGAGGCTGTTGGCCTCCCAGGCCTGTTCCTGATGCTCAATGACTAAAAATCAATCTCACTTAGTGATAAGTACAAGTGGGGCGCCTGGGTGGCTCAGTCGTTAAGCGGCTGCCTTTGGCTCAGGTCATGACCCCAAGGTCCTGGGATTGAGTCCTGCATCAGGCTCCCTGCTCTGCAGGAAGCCTGCTTCTCCCTCGGCCACTCCCCCTGCTTGTGTTCCTCTCTGGCTCTCTGTCATATAAATAAATAAAAACTTTTTTTTTAAAGTACAAAGTATCTCTCCAAATCCCTCAAGTTATTCTTTTCTGTTAGTATTTGTTCTGGGAGCTAGACAAGGCAGAAGAAAAGGGAGAAAATGAAAACTCAGGAAAGTAAACACACTTCTAAACTGATGCATGGTCAAAGAAGAAAATGCAACATACTCAAGGATAAAAATTGCATCTGGCATAGGGACCTAAGCCTGTATGAAGCCTCTCATCCAAAGCTATGAAATAAATCCTACAAAAATAAGAGATCCACTCACTGAGTAACATTTTAAAGGATTTGGGAAGGTAGTGCTATTATCTATTACTAAAAGAGTCAAACCAGGGTTATAGTTTTTAAACAAAACAAAAATCCCTAAACCTCCTTAACTGGCTGTTCCTTTTACAAGAACCATGTATATCTGTCAAAAAAATAAGAAATTAAAGAAATTGGGGAATTATTACTAATAGTAAGGTACCAAAATTAGGAACATATTTTCCCTTAAGAGAAAAAAAATCCAGGGGCGCTTGGGTGGCTCAGTCCTTAAGCGCCTGCCTTCCGCTCAGGTCATGATCCCAGGATCCTGGGATTGAGCCCGGCATCCGGCTCCCTGCTCAGCGGGAAGCCTGCTTCTCCCTCTCCCACTCCCCCTGCTTGTCTTTCCTATCTCGCGGTGTCTCTGTCAAATAAATAAATAAAATCTTAAAAAAAAAAAATCCAAAGTAACTTGCTATGCCTTTCACAGCAATTTCTCAAATTTTTATGGAGCCTAGGACAATCAAAACTAAAAGTTGGTTATATTAACAACATAAAACCCCCAAAGCCACTGTAACTGACTGTCCTTATCACAGACATTCCACTAAATAATACAGCTAACAAGAATGGGATTTTTAAAAGGCTGGGGCCCTATAGTATAAATACACTCTTAACCAGGAATTTACTCATTTACTAAACCTGAATCCATTGGCCAACCCTTCCCATGAAGGTGCTGCAAAAAACACTGCCAACGGGCGCCTGGGTGGCTCAGTCGGTTAAGCATCTGCCTTTGGCTCAGGTCATGATCTCTGGGTCCTGGGATTGAGCCCCACAACGGGCTCTCCGCTCAGTGGGGAGGCTGCTTCTCTTTCTCCCTGTGCCTGCCGCTCCCCCTCCTTGTGCGGGCTCTCTGTCATATAAACAAGTAAAATCTTAAAAAAAAAAAAAAAAAAAACCTACCAAAAAATAAAAGGGAGTTTTACCCAGGGGGGCTGGAAAATGCCTGCTTTTTACCTTTAATACCAAGACCCTGCCAGTCGGAGGTCGGAAACCCTGTGGATCAGCCTCTGCGCGGGCGCCCACCCAGTCTGGCTGGAAACCAGAAAGAGCTGGAGGTTTAACCGCTCGGGTTTCCAGCCCGAGTCCCGACTCGCGCCGTCGCGACAGCCGAATTCCCAGGCACGCAGGGCGGACCCGAACGTCCCTCGTCCGGCGGTCTCCTCCCAGCCCAACGTAAGGATCTGGAACCATGTTCAGCCCCATCTGCTTGCACAGCTTCTTCCGGCCTCCCGCTTGCCTGTGCCTTCGCGTGGGGGCGGGCTTCCGGAAACAGTGGCCAATGGGAAACACGATTAAATACACCGGACTCGGTTTCAAAGCAACACCGAGGAAGAAAGGAAGAATGCAGGTATCTCAAATATAGACAGAGCCCTTAGCCAATGGATGTGCAAAAAAGGAAGGGCTCGCCTCTCGTTGACCAATAAAAAGTGTTACGGCCGACCCGCCTACAAAGAGTAACAAAGGTTTCTTGCGGAGGTCCAGGCAAGAACGCTTCCTTTGGGCGCTTCACCCTGACTTTGCAATCATCTTTCGCGCTGTTGGCTGAATCGTCTAGGAGATTTGCACTCGGCGCTGGAGACCCCCTGTCCTCGTCCAGGTGTTACGACCCCTGAACTCCGAGACCTGACTTTGCACACAGCAGGTCTCATTATCAATGGGCTAATAAATAATAAAATAAAGGAAATGGACAGTGAAGATATTAATGAATAAAATCAAGCAGACACTTGCGGTGCAGGGCCTCTTCTTTGCAAAACCAAATCCAGGGGCAAAACCAAATCCAATACGTTTCTAACCAGCAATCAGAGTATAGAGGGGGCAGGCAGCAGAGCTTTGCATTTGATTCATATAATTTGTCAGTAAAGTCCCAGAGAAATTTGCAGCCATTTCAATGTTCTACAGTTTACCTCAGTTCTGGGAGCAGCGCTTCTCTTACAAGCAACCGCGACCAACGGCTTTAATTTCAGCAAATTCCTCTTTATGTGCGTATCTGGAACTGTCTGTGGGGTAACATTTTAAAATTTCTATTTCGAAGGGATCCATGGCCCTCGTGTGTGTGTGTGTGTGTGTGTGTGTGTGTTTCTTGGCATCCCCTGGGGTCCGCGGGCCCCTCGACTCCAATCTCCACCCACGGAATTCAGAGCCACATTCTTGTACTCCGCGAGTGTCTTCCAAATAGAGGAAACAGTATTATGCAGACTGGCTCTCTGGTTCTGATCTAGGCCGTCGCGTTGACGTCCAGACAGTGCTGTGCGTGTTGACCGTGGTTTTGAGTGAAGGGAGGGCAAGAAACAGACCGTGACTGACAGACGTGTGTTCCTAAGGCTGGATTGGTCACAGCTGGAAGAAAAGCCTCCCTAACGGCCCCAGGGGCCAAATGGAGGCCTAGTGGGAGGTACAGCACGGCTGTAAATGACTGGCGGGGGCGGGTCCTTCCAACAACAAAGGAGCTAGTGGGAGGCCTGCGAGGCTGGGCCAATCCGGCTGTGAGTGACCGGCGGGGGCCAGCCCTCCTCTAAAAACAAAGGGCCCCTAGGAAAGAATCCTGCATACCAAGGGACGCTGAGGCGTTACTATGGGAACTTAGGGTCTTCCAGGTCTTGATTAGCTCCTTTCTCCCACAATTTTTTCTTTTTCTAACTGGTTCTTATATCCCTATGAGGCCTCAGTGGGCGGTCTCTCGCGGCAGAGTTTTCTCTAGTCTCGGGGCTGTTTCCTAAATCACTGCGCTAATCTCACTCCTCTGCTCCTGATTACCCCAAATATTTGTCGCGTGCTGGCTCTTGTCCCTGCTAGACCGGCTCTCTCGCCGGCTACTGAGAGGGCAGTTGGGATTTTGGAAGAGGGGGCAGGTGCAGGGTACCCGTGGCGGGGTGGGAGGGAAGGGGAGACGGGCTCCTCCACACCTTTGCCCACTCAGGTTCCCCAAGGCTCTGACAGGAGAATCCTTACCTTTTCCGCAAGGTTTTAAATTGAGACACTTGGGAAGAGGGCAGAATTGCAGCATGATAGAAGCTGGGGGAAGGGGGAGATGGGAAAGGTGGGAGATGGATCAACTAAGGCGGTATCTTTTATTACTTTATTCCAGTATTTTAATCTTTATTTTACACCATACCTTTGCCTAATCACGTTTCTCTGTCTCTCTCCAGGCACCCCTCTCCCCTGGGGGGGGGCGGTTGAGAGGATGTTAGTCCCCAGTCTCTGCTCCCTTGGCCTGAATTGGAGTTAGTCCCTTCTTTTTTATTATTATTTTTAAAAGATTTTATTTATTTGACAGAGAGAGACAAAGTGAGAGAAGGAACACAAGCAGGGGGAGTGGGAGAGGGAGAAGCAGGCTTCCCGCTGAGCAGGGAGCCCGATGCGGGGCTCCATGCCGGGCTCCATCCCAGGACCCTGGGATCATGACCTGAGCCTAAGGCAAACGCTTAACGACTGAGCCACCCAGGCGCCCCAGTCCCAGAGCTTTCAGTTTCAATGTACATATCTTGGCTGGAAGGGATGGCGTCGTTGGACTTTTAAAATATTCAATTTTCGCTAAGTTATATTTATCGCTCTCTTCCTTTATGTATACTGAATTTTGTTTCTTACATGCAAAAGTATTCTTATCCTGCAATTAAAAAAAACCGCTTCTTTATTTTCTTCTAATTCTGTAATAGTTTCTGATTTTTACATTTCCTTTGGAGTTGACTTTGGGGGTACGGTGTGAGGTAGAGATGAATTTGCACGTCATCCTTGTGCAGCAGCCATGCTAATCTTCTCTGTATCATTCCAATTTTAGTATATGTGCTGCTGAAGGGAGCAAGGGGTGAGGTAGAGATGTAACCATTTTTTCCCCCCAGATAGATATTTCTCCAAAGAAGACAATACAGATCACCAAAAGACACAGGAAAAGATGCTCATCATCACTCATCATCAGGAAAATGCAATCAAAACTACAATGAGAGATCACCTCACACCTGTCGGAATGGCTAAAATCAACAACATAAGAAATGGTGTTGGCAAGGATGTGGAGAAAAAGGAACCCTCTTGCACTGTTGGTGGGAATGCAAACTGGTGCAGCTACTGTGGAAAACAGGATGGAGGTTCCTCAAAAAATTGAAAATAGAACTACCTGGGCACCTGGGTGGTTCAGTCAGTTAAGCAGCTGCCTTCAGCTCAGGTCATGATCCTGGGGTTCTGGGAATGAGCCCCTAATCAGGGCTCCCTGCTCAGTGGGGAGTCTGCTTTTTCCTATGCCCCTCCCCCCTAAACATGTGCTCTCTCTCTCAAATGAATAAATAAAATCTTTTTTAAAAAAATAGAACTACCCTATGATTTTTCTCTTTATTTTACACCATACCTTTGCCTAATCACGTTTCTCTGTCTCT